GGGATGGATCCAGCCTGCAGGATGGTTAGATCTGGCCCGTGGGCAAAGGACCAGCCCGCAGGCCTCTGCCAGCGAAAATGGAACTCGGAGGTGGGGGAGGAAACATGAATCTCCAGGCTCACTTTTCGCTGGCAGAAGGCTGGAGGAGGCCATCCACGTGGGAAATGGGGCCCAGGGAGGCTGTTCTTGCTGGAAATTGCAAGCTCCAGAGTGGTAGCAGCTAAGTGGAACCTGCGAGGTAGAAGAGGAAGTGTGGGTGCTTAGAGGTGTGAGGAGGGTTGGGGAGAGAGTGGGTGTCAGGGAGGGTGTGCAAGGAGGTTTGTGAGAGGTTTGTGCTGATATGGTGCAAACAGAGGATCTGGGGGTGCATGGATGGGTGGAGAGTCTGACAATCTTCCCCGCTGTCTTCCCCAGTGACTTTCTGGGGAAGCTAGCAGAGTAGTTTGCAAATGATAATCATCTGATCACAGAGCATTGTAACATAAGGCCATAAGTGCAAACCTATTGCCAAGTGCTCAGATCACAATCACACAACTGCGGAGGTGTTAGGCCAGCCAGAAATCCACGGCCCGGTCCTAACCATCATTCATTCAGAGCTCCAAACAGTTGGTGAACAAATGCTCATAGGTGAAGGGCTACCTACTGTATAATCAAATTCAACTAGAGGACTCTTTTGGGGTTCTTCAGATTAGATACTGGAACATTTTCCTTGCTCCAGCAGTGACGTGCGGTGAGGTTTATGGCTGGTGAGGCAGTCCTCTGCCCCGACATCCCACTGTCTAAAGCGCTTTCTTTCTCTCGCCCGCCTGAGCTCTGACAGGCGGGCGAAAGAAAGAAAGCGCTTTAGACAGTGGGGTGTCGGGGGGAGAGGAGAGAATGCCTGCCATGATGAAAATGTAAAAATGTAAAATGAAAAAGGCAAGAGCTGCTGAGGTCAGGCTGGGCTAGTTGCTGCCAGAGTCCCCAATTGATGACTCTGCTTAACTGTTTAAAGAAGCCTCTAAAAAAGCGCCCTCTACAGGAGGAGGCAGGAGAACCACGTGCCTCATCTACATAAGGAATTTTTTGGCTTTTAACCCTTGCTTAACTCTGCTCAAGTGATGATAAAAAGTCAGACTGGATGAGGCACGTCATTCTCCTGCCTCCTCCTGTAGAGGGC